ATTTCGACGGAAACTTTAAGATTTCCTGTAACACGATGAGGGCAATTTATCCAAACATAAGAACTCGTTTGTATAAGTTTGAAGGTATTTGCTGTCGTCTTCGATTTGGCTGTTGTGTAACGACCTGGAGGAGAAGGCACGGTGCAGTCCGGCCGTGGGATGGAGGTACTGTGCATATGAAATAAAGTGTGTCAGGGCGAAGAGGGTGGGCTGGGTTTCACTCACGTGCAAGTCCTCCCTAAATGTCACAGGTCACTGGCAGGTCCTCCATGATGCACATCATCTGCTCCCATATCACCAGAGCCTGCTCCATGGAAGGTCATCTGCAACTCCAAGCTGGGCTCGCAGTGCAGAGAGTAATTAACTGCGCGCCTGGAATCAGACCACTTGTTGGCTGCGGTGTTGTGAGAGGGGGAGGTGGACAGCTCACCAAGCAGCCGGCCTCCGCAGGGGGCTGCGGAGCTGAGAAGGTCACCCGTGTGTGTCTGCGTGTGTTTATGCACAGATCATTTATTCAGTGGCCCTGGAGTAACGAGGGTAGGCAGCTGGCTCTTCGTGTTCAAAAATGTGTGCGTAAATACAAACAAACTTGTTTATCAAGAATCCAAAAGGTGATTTTAAAAGCGTTCCAAAAGTGAAGTCAACAAATTTGTTGAATTTGTTGAATTTGTTAACCTGCCGTCACCGTACTTGACCATAGCTATAAGGTATTCGTAAAATGTTCAATCAGGAAGGAATGCATCAATATTTAAAATGAACACAGACATAACTTGACAATAATAGTTATCAAAGATTATGTTTTTTTGTTTGTTTTGAAGGTGACACATCCACATCATTCTGGTGTGGTACCACACCTTGCATTGTCAGTTTGATTAAAGATAAATGAATAAATATATTCGTCGCTCTCCCATGTATCCTCTCACTTGCCTCCTGTGACAAAGGGACTCACGGGGACTCTGGCATTTGAACTGGTGTAAACACAGCATGCTCATGGACTCTGTCCCTGATCCTAAATTAACATGCAACTGACTGTTCGTCGCCCATCAACCCACAAACACACACAGACACACCTAAACACAGTGTGTGTGCGTATGTGTTCCACACGTTCTGAAGATCATGTGGACAGAACTTGCTTCTGCCCACCAGATCCAAGGTCAAGCTGAAAGTTCAAGAAGTACACAATTAGAGATTTGTCTCTAAGTTTCTAAGTGATCCTCGGCCGTAAAAACACACAGCAAAGATGCAATTGCAAATAATTCTCACAAATTGTAGCTTTTGTTGGGAGAGAGAAGCTGATACAAACGTATGATTCACGGGGAACGTGGGTGCCGGACAGCAAAGGTCTGAGAAGACTTTGTTAATGAGACAATGAATCATTTGATATTTAGTGTCAGAGGAGAAGCTGATATGTATAAAGTTCATATTTGCAACTGATTTAAATAAAAGTGAAAAGTTCGTCAGAACGTGTTGAATAGGTTAGGAAACTTTACCCTAAACGTGAAACACTCATCGATGCGTCGTGCCAAATGAGATTATTGATTACTGAACATTATTTACAGATAATAAGTCAAGGGAAATATGGCTATATACCTTCAAACCCCTAAAAGTAATGAAATGTTACGCTCTAAATTGGTCGTGCTTTCCATTTGCTTTACAATGTTACGTTTGTTAAAATTAGAATTGACAGTTTACATGAAGGGTTCTTTAAACAGTTAAAATAAATAAATAAATAAAACCAGCTACTAATTATGGTTCAAACATGAATAATTAACAATGCAGCATTAAAAAAGCGTCCCATTGCAAATTATTGCTATGAACTCAAACTGGAAATAGGAAGACTCAACAAAGATGTTTTCTGTCTTTCACCTTTGCTACTGTGATTCAGTTCATTGAGGTTTGCAGACCTTTGTTTCTGCACCGCCTCGCTCTCCTTTAGGATCTGGCCTTTAAAAAAAAGTTATTTCCTTTCTACGTCATTTTGTTTCATCTGCTGCTGCTGCTGTTCCCCTCTGCCCAGGATCCGATTTCAGCCGAGCTTCAGATCAGATGGTCTCGTGTTTCACTGTAGACATCGTGAGTATGCAGAGGAGTTCCTACAGTCAACTCAATGACTGCAAGATCCCCACTTCCTGTGGCTCTAAAACAAATCCAGATCATCAACCTGCCGTCACCGTACTTGACCATAGCTATAAGGTATTCGTAAAATGTTCAATCAGGAAGGAATGCATCAATATTTAAAATGAACACAGACATAACTTGACAATAATAGTTATCAAAGATTATGTTTTTTTTTTGTTTTGAAGGTGACACATCCAGTATTGATAGAAATGTTGACTTTATCTCTTCCGTACAATTTTATTGCAACATATTTTCCTCTCATGTCTTATGTGCAGGTTCAGCTGTTTTTAGCAGTACAGTCACAAATTACAGCTCCTGATGGGTCATTTTAGCTCTCTTGTTTTCATTAAAAGGCTTTCATTTTGTGTACCTAAATATTTGACAATGGTTTGTTGAATTTGAAGTATTTTGTATCCATGATCTGCTAAAAGAAATTTAGTTGCTCTGGTCCATCAAATATGGAGTTGATGTTATATCAGCTTTTATTCATTTCTCCTACTCTGTAACTCATTTCCCTCCGCCTCCTCAGCCTCTTCCTGAGCCTCTCCACCGTTTTCTTACTAACTAATTGTTCACCAGTTCAAACCAACAGGCTCTGCCAAGGGTTTTATTCAAATAAGTCACCCACTACTTCAGTATGTGTCACCGCAATGAGCATGTGAATGTGATATGGGTCCAGTCGAAAATTATAACAGAGCAGAAAAAAGCAGCAGCTGTTTGAGCCATCTGATGATGGATGTCTGTCACCAGAGTGTTCCTATCAGACTTCAAATATCAGGATGAGCAGGAGATCATTAATCAGGGCTTAATTCAGATTAAATTAAGTTCCGCATTGTCTTTTTCCTCAGGACTTCTTTTATTTTAAAATTTTGATTGTGAAATAAGAAAGCTGTTGTCCAAACTCTGTTAGCTTTGGGGACTGTTTGGTTCAAATCATTCTTCAACCCGAGCTTTGGGAAAATGTTGAGACATTTTTGATTTTTTGATCACATTCCACTGCAGAGCTGTTTGTGTTCAAATATTAGTAGTTTTTTTTAACAGATACGCAGGTAAAATACAACCTAAGGACAAAAAGTGTGCATTCAACTTTTTTATCTGCATGGATTAATTAACAGGACAAGATAAACGGATTAAAAGAGGTTGGTCATGTCAAGGTTAGTGGATCAGTGAAAGAAAAACAAAAACAAGGAAGAAACTGGTAATGATTGTAAATAAGAGGAATCAGAGAGGAAAAAAAGGAGGATTTATTGTCATGACCTACAGCATATAGACGCTTTCAGATTGATTACTGAATGAAAAACATGAGATTTGTTGACATAAATGCCGGTGTGTTGATGTTGCTTTCATATTTAGCATAGATGTCACAGTTCAGAGGTGAGGATCATTATGTTCTCTGGTTCTGCTGCTGCTCGTCAGACATTCTCCCAGTTTCAGACATGATTTATCTTCCTATTAGCTGCAAGGCGCAGACGGAAACAAACACATGAATGATGACAATATGAAGCTGTAACATTTGATTAAAGGGAACAGACAGTCTGAGTGAGTCTTTAAAATCTGGCATGAAGATGTGGTGCGGCAACAAGTCACCTCATTAACAGATGGGGACATTTTTAATCTTCCTCTCCTGCTGCCTTCATTCCCGACTTGGACCAGCTTTTATGCAAGTATTTATTTTTAAACGAATGAGAATCTGAAGCTGAAATCACCAATGACGCAGAAGTAACATACGTGCGTGCGCACACATGCATGCACACAGAGACAAACTCGAGATGTGGAAGAGTTTGTGGGGACGCATAAAGTCTTTTTTGGGGTTGTGTTGGCGCACAGCAGGTGTTGTGGGGGAGTTTCCTTTACATTAAAAAAAAAAAAAGCTACAGATTTTCTTTCTCGACCATCCTGCCCAGTGACAATCCTCCCAACAAAATCTGTTTTATTTGGATCACAGACATCAAGTAGATCTCACAAGCCGACACCCGGATTGAATCTCATTCATAAAATTTCCTCAATGGAGAATTCACTTCACAAGTTATTCTACTTCCAGCATTTTCATTTTATTATTTTGCTGATGAATTTTATACAGTTGTTTTCCACTGAAATATAACTAAGGACAGATTTAATTAAGCTGGGTGAGGAAATGTGACGCTGCATGGCTTCTCATTCCTGCATGCAGGAAACAGAATCGACAGTTTACCGAGTTATTTTCTCAAACACAAACATCTCATGAGACACTTTATCAGTTTTAGCACAGCTCCCTCTGGAGACGCAAAGGTTTTTGTGCAACTTTTCTGCATTAAGTTGAAAGGTTCCCCAAAGACAGCAACTAGCATCACAAAGAGCTCTAATTATTAAAAAAACAACAAAAAAAAAACTTTTTGGGATTTTGTGTAGCTTTTCACGTTCTTTGCCAGAGTAACAACATTTCAGAATATTGGACAAAGTTGTCATTGTAAATGTTGCACTTGTAATTGATTTGTCTTTTATTTCATCTTAGTGTTTTGACAAATTCCTCACTCTGTGAAATATATCAACTAAAATATGCATTAAAAATATATGTCATTTGTTTGTGTTCTTTATTGGTTCTGAAATATTATTATTTCATACTGCACAACATTATTTACAGGTTTGATCACACAAAAAAGATTAATTGAGAAACTACTCAGTACCTGAGGCTTTGATAAATGCAACAGAAGTTAAATTAAAATTAGCTTCATAGAACAGAGCTCTTGAGCAACAACCTACCTGAAGAGGAGAAATTAATTTAGTGTTTTTAATACAGATTTGATCATATATCTATAGAAAATCAAACCTGTATTGCATATGATGATTTACTGCACACGAGTCCTGAACAACGATTCAAAAATATATACTTACCTTTTCTAAAGCACTGAACCCATGATATTTTATATGAACAAAACAGTTTGGTGATTTTTGTTTTTGCAGAGAGGTGATTCCAGTATTTGTGTTGTTTGTAAAACGTCTGTCGTAAAGCCAGCAGGTGGCAGAAATGTGTTTCCTTCCCGTAACTCCGGTCCACTGGCCAATCTCTGTCCCAGGAAGCTTCAAGCAAAGGTTTCATGGCAAACAATCGTCTGGAATTTTATTCCTGACATTTCTAATGAAATCATTGTACTGAAGATTTGTGGAACTTTTGTCTTTTTTTATGCAAATAAAATAAGCATGACCTGAAAACCTCTTTTTTAATAAGAATTGAATCTTGCTCACCTTCATGTTGTGGTATGTGCTGCCGAAGGAACAAGCACCACACATAAAACCTCAATCACAAATGACAGATTATAAACAAAAGAAATAACACAAAGCATTAATCAGCTACAGAAAAAAAATATATACTAGATGAAAGATAAAACAAGACCTCAAGAAAAGCATGTTAGCATCATATAATCAACTTTTGTTTGATTTTTTTTTATTTTCCCACTGGGCAGAGAAACTAGAAGCATAACCAGAACATAAAAGTTCAACCTTCCTGACCGAAAACCATTTGTTTATTTTTCAAAATTGTAATTCAGTCTGTAAATGAGTCTGTTCTGATGTGAGACAGATCTGGCAACTTTTAGCACCTCTGCAGAATCAAGATTTATGCTCATGTGATCTTTGGGTTCGACAGGAGAAACAAGCTGTGTGTGTTGCTGAGTTACATTCTCCCTTTCATCAACAGGGCAGCTAAACTGTGAGGTTTTAGGCAAACCGGTATGGTTGTTATGAGATTATCCGGTAAACAAGCCTCATCCGGTCTGTAATGTTTTAAGGCAACCCATAAACAAAAGAAATAACATGAACACATGAATAAGTGTTCATTTCTTACTTGGGAGAAATTCTGTATATAAAATCAGCTAGATTAACAGTTGGGTTAACATTCAATTCAAATTTATGCCCATAATTTATTTTCAAACCCAGCATGGTGAATCTGTTTGTAACAACTGGTACAAACAGTCCCATCAGCCAGCGGGCTTCAAGAGGAGAAAGCTGTGATTTTCCTATTGTCTCTCAGAGAGGCACGTTTTCGACAGTGGAGGTAGACAGAGAGGGGATGCATGAAGGCCAGCAAGCTGAGCAGCGTCAGGCTGATGTTCATCTGCACACATGTGAGACATGAGAAAGGAAGTAATTCAGGGGTCACTGCCAAGTTAGCTGAGAGACAGGTCAGCACTCACGTATAAAGGATCTCCACCCAGAGCTCCGTTCACCAGAGCGAAGCAGGGATACTGCAGCAGACAAAACGACGCAGCCAGCGACGTACCAAGACCATACAGCTTCCCGAAGTGACACGATGGAAACCTGATCAACACATAAGGGTCAAAAACTTCATATAAAAATGAACTCTTTAAATGTACGGCGTTCCATTTCTGCCAAAATCGAACCCTGTTAAGTGAAATAACATCTATTTATTTTTAAGCAAAAAAATTTCACAGGTCTTAGCTTCATAATATGTCTTTAATCCTGAGCTACTTCTTTTTTTCTTTTGTCTTTTCAAATCACAAACATGCTTCCTGCTTTTCAGATCACTTCTGGCCGAAGATGATACTCACGCCACGCTGATGAAGGCTGCGATGCCACCATAGAGGAAGGAGCGGTTCAGCACCTGCAGGATGAAGGTGAGGTACTGAAGCGGCAGGGAGGGGATGGAGGCACACAGAGAGAACAAGACGCACTGCAGCGCCGTCAGGAATAAAGAAAGCACAGACGCCCGCAGGTCGGCCTCCTGCTCCGTCTCCCCTACGAGCATTGACAATCACGTGTAACTATCTCACAGCATCGGTCCTTGTCTTTCAGGCTTCAGGATTCCTGAGCTCCTCCTGTACAAGCCCAGCAGGTTACCTGCAGCTAGAGGTTTTCCCTTGTGCCTGTCCATGATGAGGCCGTTCCAGGGAGCGCACAGCACAGCGCACAGCTGGGTGAAAGCAAAGGCGTTGGTGTACTGGCTCACTGCTCAGATACATGCACATACCAAAAATACAGTCAGCAAACAATGTTTTGATAGGAATCCCATAGGTTGAGTTGACTGCAAAATAGCAGCAAAACCTTAAAAAACACAACATATTGACTCAAATAATTATTTTTTCTGATGAGAACAAGGAAGGCGTCACCCAGAGAGGTATCTCCTTCTGTGAGCCTGAGCAGCATGGGGTTGAGGGTGCCAATGAACAGGAAGTGCCTAAACTGCATCACCGACAGCCAGAGCAGGTGGCCCACAAAGAACCTGGACAGCAAACACTCTCGGAAAGTCTTCTCTGAGAGGGACAGAAGTTGATGAACCTCAAGAAGATGGACCAGGAGCGAAAGCAGAGAATGGCGGATTACAAACCTTGTTTGGGAGGGACGTCATTTGTAAACAGTGTGTCCTCTGCTCCTGTATGTGCACAGACGTTTGCAGTCACCTCACTGTTCATGGTCTCTAATGCACCACAGGAGACCCTGCAAATAAATTAAAAACAAGTCCAACAGGAAAGTCAGTCACAGTTTCAGTTTTATCTTTCGTAAACATGAATTTTTGTGTTTACTAGCCTCAAGATGTTCAGAGACATTGACTCACAACCATCACAATTTCTGTTCGGCAAAAAATTTATTTAGTTTGGTTGTTTTTAATTTAGGAATCCAGAAATCTTTAATTTATAACTGTATATTTTGCTGACTATTTGAAATGTCTTTCAATCAGTCATTAGAAACCTGTCAATAGAGCTTGAGTCATGTGTGAAGAGTTTGAGAAAATAAGTAGTTTGTCATTGTTTGTCTAACCAAGTATTCTTACCAAGTGTTTTTTGCCTCGTGTGCAAAAATATTAGACAAAAATAGAAGTGAAAACTTTGTTTTACGTCAATAATTCTTGGACATCGATAAAAAAGTACTAGTTCCACAGACAAATGTCTTTTAAACTAAAAACTAAAAAAAAAAGTCATGAGTTCTTCTTTTTAATATAAGAAATGTTTTCACTCTAAATAACAAGACTTTTAAAGGAGACTGAACGTTGCTACACGCGGGCCGTTTGTTCGTACCCGTACGTGTAGCGATCAGGCAGTGGGTGAGGAATGAAGGTTCTGGGCAGCAGGAAGAACGTCCTGAGGATGTGGACGACGCTGCAGGCCGACAGGAAGAGGAAGGCAGCGCGGAGAGAGACGCCAGACTCATGCAACAGCTGCAGAGACAAGAAGACTTAGCGGCATCCGTGAGCTGTTTACTCTTGTACAAAAACTTACTTTCTGAATGTTTTGTTACCTTAATGATGAGGAAGAGTGCTGAGGAAGAATCAAAAGCTCCATTATAAAGATTGATTATGGTAGAGCGACGTGAGCCAAACAGGTTTCCAACCTTCAGGAGGCAAAAACAAAGAAATATTATATTGAAGCTTTTGTACAAAACTTGAACTCAAAGGAAACCGAAACTGCATTTTGAAGAGTTGAACTTAGGGATACGACGAGGAGACGACACACAATGGCATCTTTCACTAAGCATCAATTCCTCGTGAGGCGATTGGTGGTCTGTCTACACAAGATCATAAGCCTGGTGTCACAAAATCAGCCCGAAAAAAATCACTTAAAGACAAGCAAGTCTTTGGAATGTGGGTCATGGAGAAGTTAATAAGCGGTTCCTGGTCATGTGTCTTTTTTCTAGTTTCCTTTAGGGGATCATTTACTGACAATAATACTATTTTAGACATCGCAGAAAAGACATTAAAAAAAATGAGTCAGAGGAAGGACTTTAAGTTACACCTGCTCCTAAAGAGTCGATCATGTTACCTTTAACCTTTATAGACTTGTTATAGTAAATGTGCACAACACTGCAAGACATTTTGAGTTAATAATATATCCTAAACTCTTCAAAGTCTGGAGAGTGTTTTTAATCGTGCATCGTCTTTATTTGCACTCATCACCCTTGGAGCCAGAAGGCCATGGCACAGTGCCAACGTCTGTTTTGCCTGTTTCGTGAGGTTTACCACTAAAACCCTCACAAATCAAGTCCTCTCAGCCAAACAGACACACCTAACATTTTCACCAAGTTAAATGGGCTGAACTTTTTCAATCATTTTGAACACTCGAGGCACTTTACACTAGAGTCACATTCACCCATTCCCACACCAATCGGGCACGTCAGCATGAGGCCGGTGAAAGCTGGAATTGAACCTACAACCTTCTGATCACAAGACAACTATGCTTCCCACAGAGCCACAGTTGCCATTCAAGCAACAAAAGCTTCACTCACAGCCTGCGCTCTCTGAACCTCTGCACAGTCATCCCTGATCTTTGTGCTGACAGACTTGTAGAAAAGCCAACGCACCTGCATGTTTGTGATCAGGAATAAAATGCCTCCCACAGCCAAAAGAGGGAGAGCTGGGAAGAGCAGGAAAGGCAGAGCTGATGGGAAAGGAGAAAGAGATAAGAAAGAGACGCAGCAGCTTTTTTAAGCTGGTAGAAATCATCATTGTTTCTCACCTGGCGAGGAGAGCGCCACCATCAGGGAGCCAGTGGTATATAGAAATCTGTTGAGAGATGGGACTGTCTTAGAATAAGCAAAACCGCACAGATTATAATTTTTCTTCGTTTTTCAAACAGATGATCCCAAATGAATCGATTTCACATCATCTCTTGTCCTCGTCAGAACATTTTCGAATGGAAAAGACAGAGCAGAAGAAAAGATCTGTGACGTTTTGATCCAGCTGCAAGCAACAGTCTGATCAGCTGAGTCTACTTTTAATTTGTTTTTGTCAACAAATGTACCTGAAAAAAAAATTCTGTGCAAACCAGAACCTGATATTTTCACAGATGTTCAGGTGGCTCTGAAGTATTATTCAGAAAATTATCTAATAAAAATAATTCATAGAAAGAAGTGTATGCACCAAGTCCTGTTAAAAAAAAAATCATTATTTGCATTTAAGACTCTTGACAAAGAGTGACTCCACTATGAAAGACAAGCAGATTATTTGCTCTACTCAGAAATCCTCATGAATAATCTCATTTGCCCCGACATTTTCCAACCTCACATCAACATTACGCTACATGGCAAATTATCTTGGATTTGAATGGATTTGAGTTTGGCGTGAAGTTGAAGATTGTTGTCTTTCAGCAGCATGAATCTGCTCCAAAGACATGATAGTGATGGCTATCATGTCAACAAAACTCTAAAGTCTTCTGCAGTTTTTTCCTAGAATTACCCTGAATTTAGCTCCACGTGTTTTCATAGAAAGTTTGTGCAGCTTCCCAACATCCCACAGCAATATCTTGTTTCACCATGACGTCTTCACCTTGATGTGCACAAACCAGGACATCTGTATTTAAACTGAGACAACTTGATAATTTGCCTGACTGAAGTTAGGCACTGTAAGTCTCTAAATGGATGAAAGTTTTACAGGAGCATGCAGCAAAGAAATGGATATCACTGTGGTTTATGAACACAATTTTACTCACATTGCCAAGAGTCGAGCCACTGCGGTACCAAAGTGATCGAAAATGAAGCCATTGGGCAGCGTGAGGAAGTTGTTCATAAAAGTGGCGATGGTGAAAATAAGTGAAAGCTGCTCATCTTGTGCACTGCAGTCTGTTGGTAATACAGAGAAAGACATAAACAAGACAGCGGTGTATGTAGATGCATAATTGATAAACAGGTTAACAGGTAACAATTTTGACAACAATGCAGAAACGTTTACAGTTGAAGCTTAAAATTGAGACGAATAAACCAGCAGCAGTGGAATCATCAAGCTGACCTAATATCTGAGTGCCATTGAATCCTGTTGTGTTAAAGCACAGAGAGCTGAAGTAGCCGTCCTCCTTGAGGACAAAAACAAGAGAAGCCCATCCGAACACGGCCCCGGCGAAGCACAGGCACTCCACCAGGCCCGTAACGAAGGTGAGGCAGTGTCGCACCGACAACTTGTTCTCCAACACCTGCATGCTCACTCAGATGCGACTGTCAGCAGCAGCAACAACAAACAAACTCATTCACACAAGCAGTTTTGGTGTCTGCACCTGCCTCCTGACAACCAAGAGAAGAGAGCATGTCTTTACTTTGCCGGCTTCCTTAAAGAGAATAAAGGTTTGGACAAGTTTATGACACAGATGATGAAGAAGCACAGCATGTCTAATGTTTTAAAGCAATATTATAAGAAAGAACAGATAACATCTGCTGTGAGCCTGCAGGGAATGCTGCAGAAACACCCATGTCAGAAACAAAAACTAACAGTTAAAGTCACAGATATATGCAGAAGTAACCATTTTGCACTGCGAGCGCATAAAAACCTGCAGAAACACACCAACCTTTGTCAAGTTGCAGTTTTCTGAGAGGGTTGCCACAGCTCAAGATTGCCAGCCTAAATACTTTCAGGAAGAACAGCTTCTTTCTCGGGTCACGCAGTCCTCCTTTGTGTAGATCAGCTCTTCCCTCCTCTTCCTCACCCACAGTGACCTCCCTCTTCTCTTTAACCAGGCCTCTGAAAAAGCCTCATCCTTGGGCTGTTAGTCTCTGTGTAGAACAATCTTTCCTGTTCAAAGCCACATAGTGGATGTTGCAAGGTCTGGACAGGCAGCTTCTGTCACAGAGTCATTTTGGTGGAGACACTATGGATATGTAGGCAGATGGAAATGCTGACAAGTCTTATCAGGATTTAAAATGTGGCTGCCATTAAAGGCGATGAAACTTTGACTGTGTTAACAAGCATTTGATCCATTTGTATTTGAGTGAAGCAGAAGAACTTTGGCTTGTCAAATGCAGGTTCGAAGGGGTCACGACAGAAGCCATACATATTAACGGATGGAACGGTTAGGAGGCACAAACATTAACCTAAACTGAGAAATGCCACAAGATGGAACGTGACTGAAATGATAATGAGCCTATATGTCTGTGGGATTATTGATTAACATTTCCTCTAACCAAGTTAATATGTGTATGAGTGATGATGCAGAAAACTGCCAGAAAATGTAAAAAAAAAGGAAAAAAAGGTTAAAATTCTGAGCTATTTATCAGCTCTTGTTCAGCTCCCTCTGGAGCCAGAAACATGCCTTTGCAACTTTCATTCTTGATGCATTTGAGTCAACAGCATTTTGCCTTTTCCTCTAGAAACTGACCGCATTGACACACTTCATTTATAAAACCATAAATAGAAGCTCTTATTCTTCATTATTGTTTCCTGGTTAATTTTGGTAAATTTATTTAAGAGTTCCTCTTCCTTTAACTCTATTTTCAGCAGAAACATTTTTGTTTTTCATGCATAGTTGAAAACAAGTCAATCTTATTTGATTGATGTATTGATATCACATCTAACTTTCTAGTGTTTCATTGCAAGTTGAAAACCCAGCTAACTGCTCTGTTAATTATACAAATCATTATTTTGTATTTTCTTAAATTTTATGCTTTCAATGACTAATTATCAGAAGTTTAAGTGTCATTGCAGGTAAATAATCTAAGAATAAATATGCTGTATCATGGTGGCAGTATTATACTTTGATTGTGAGAAAACTCTGAATGTTAAAGTCTGACAGGCCACTTTTCTAAAAAATAACACAACCAGAGCTATGCTGCAATCTGATTAAACTAAAATTTTAGCGTTTGACTAAACTGACCGTCTTTTCAAACAGAAAGAAAATGCAGCAACTTGCAAACAAGTTAAAAGATTACTTTTTGCAGAAGGGACTAATACTCTTCATAAAAATACAATTAAAAAAAGAGCATCCATTAAAAAAGTAGTGGGGAAATTGCAAAGTAACAACTCAAAATATACAACCAAAAATATCATTTAATCAACAAAATTCCTGAGGCTGCAGCTGTATTAACCAACAAAGCGTCCTAAGGAGATTAACATCAGTCAATATTGCAGCTTCAATACTTTACAATTCCCCCTTTTGAAATGTAAGAATAATCCAGTTGCACATTTATCAAAGTTAAATGCATTTCGGAAAACTCTCAGATTAACTCAGCAAAACAAACATTTTGAGAACCAAAATATATGAAGTTTTTATTCAGGATGGATTTTTGTTCATGAAATCGTGTCCATCAGTCGTGTTACATGAAAACAATGGTACAATTGCACTTTTGTTCACAACCTGTAGGTGGCAGTAGACCTCAGTTTAACAAAAGCAGCAGAATGTGAAGAACATTAATTCCCTTCATCACACATTTAATCAAAAGCTACATTTTGTTCAGCAATGTGATATCTCTATCAATATCTCATTTACAAAAATACTGATCGGCTTTAGTTTGGCACTTTCCCTCAAATATAAAATGTCCCTTTTTGATCCTTTACACATTTTAACACAGTATGTCTATATATGTTCACTATAAAAACACTGAAATAATGACACTCCACATAATGGACAAAAACACGACTTCAACATAGTAAAAGGAAACGTTTTTCTAGTCAGAAGGAAATAAATCTGCTGTGCAGCCAGCAGAGGGCAGAGATGTTTCCTCTCTGATGAAGCGGTTCAAATCTTTGATGAGAAACTTTTATACTGAAAACTTTATTACGGTCATCGTAAAGGTACTTTTTCATAATAAAAGTAAACTCTCTTCCTTTTCCCTTTCAGGAATAAATGGCACAAATTAGGCATCAAACAACAAACATACAACAAATGTGTTTAAGTAAAACATATGAATGACCTACGCAGAATATTTGTGCAAAAAAGGAAGTTATTTCAAGCATCAGATGACTGAGTAAAAACATAAAAAGGTTGTTAGAATGAAGTGAAACTTGCAAAAAGTAAAGGAGAGAAACAAACGTTCACGTTTTTAGTAAATCTTCCTTCTCCCTCTTAATCTAAAATCCCTTTTTCTTGATGTGACAGGGAGTCTCTACTTGTAGACATAAATCTTTGCTTGTAAAGGAATTTCTTTGAAATGCAAAAACAAGTTGCTATCAGCAGGATTGAAATTTCACAATATTCCTGATTTATGCAACAGGTATTTTAGGACAAAAAAACTTCATGTTTTTCTTATTTATTCACCATAGTAATGGGCATCTGATATTCTGACTGCATACGAATAATTTTCTATTTCATTATCCCAGAGTGTAGAAGGACATAACGCTACCAGATAGTGAGGCTGCATTCATGGATGGCAAGTTTTAATTCAAATGCCATCTGTGAAAATGTTGCTTTTACCTTAGAAGACGACAGCAAGTTATTTACCTACATGCAAGGCTTTAACTATTTATAAGCAGTTATGCATGCTTTCCATCCCTCAACTGTGACATCATATATCTAAATGCTGCTAGAATAAGTAGTGAAAGATGATCATATTTGTGTAAAACTCTAACAGATTGAGTGTGTGGATAAAATACAAGCCTTGTATTATACACGGATCTTTTAGAGATGGTAGACTTTTGTCTGGCATTAGCTGGACGCTCCTGAGATTTCAGATTGGCACAACTTGACAGTGTGACTGTGAGGATTTGTCATTTTATGCCCCTGTGGGACTCATTGGACTATTTATAAAAAGAACTCTGGCTCAAGGTGAAACTGTAAAATGATCACAACATTTCCTGAAAATAAAGTTCTTTTAGTTTCTAGTCAGGTCCTCGACCACCAAGGCGAAGAGCTTTAAACAGAAATCACCATCCTCGTTTCGCGCTCTTTAAGATGAAGCTTTGCTCCTTGCTCTCTCAGAGGCGAGGTTTCGACAATGCATGAAGACGAAGACGGGATGTATGAAGGCTAACACGCTGAGCAGCGTCAGGCCGACGTTCACCTGCACACACGTGAAGAGGGGAGGCCATGAGAGGAGGGTTCACAGCTGAATGAACATACAACTGATACAGATGAAAACTGTGCTCACGTATAAAGGATCTCCACCCAGAGGTCCTTTCACCAGAGCAAAGCAGGGATACTGCAGCAGAGAAAACACTGCTGACAGAGCCATGACCAGACCGTACAGCTTCCCGAAGTGGCAAGATGGAAACCTACAAAAATACAACAAATTAGCTGTAAACAATTAGCTGTAAACATACATTACATGATCAATTAAACTCAACAAAACCAAAGATCCTTCAAGGAGGAATCTAACTCAGAGACCAAAAGCTTTATCAGCAGGAGGGATTCCTGTGAACTAACGCCTTAATGCAATCAGCTGGACTTCCTCAGACAAACTGTCAACAATCTGGATTACATCATCAACCGACTACAATTGCATTTCAGATTGAACTGTACTGTTTGTTACTTAATCTAAACATGATAACATGTTTAGGACCGAATAAGGTTCAGGTAAGAACTGAGACTAAAATGGTTTGAGACAAAAACTTTTGCTTTGAATTTCTGCTGCTTAAATAAACTGAACAGAACATGATAGCAAGTTCTGTTATCATGAACATGATTTGGATTTGGATACCAATAAACAGCTCAGCTGTCAGAATAAAAATAACATTCAAACTTTAAGGTATTGAACATATTTTTCATTGAATCCTCGTTGCTGTAGTAAAAATGTTTTTATAGGTTTGATGTAATGTTTCAATTATAAGTGGAAAATCGGCATTTTTACCAGAATAAAAGCTTGAAAACATGAGCCTTTCAATGACCATATAATTTATGAGCAACTGAAATAAATAAACGTTTAAAAGTCATTCTAATTTATTGAATATGAATGTAGAGGTACACTAAACATGCACATAATTTTTTTGGCACTAAAAACAGGAATAAACAAACACAAAACATTTCAGTTTCTTAATGTCACCAAACACGAACTACAAAGTGTTTGTGGTTTCACTGTCAAATCATGTTTATGCAAAAGGAATTTAAATTAAGTCTTGCACCTCGACAATTTCTGCAAACGCATCCATACTCACGCCACGCTGATGAAGGCTGCGTTGCCGCCGTAGAGGAAGGAGCGGTTCAGCACCTGCAGGATGAAGGTGAGGTACTGAAGCGGGAGGTAAGGGGTGGAGGCACACAGAGAGAACAAGACGCACTGCAGCGCCGTCAGGAATAAAGAAAGCACGGACGCCCGCAGGTCGGCTTCCTGCTCCGTCTCTCCTGTAAACACACAAATATAGATCCTCCTGTGAAGTTTAGCGACTCCATTTTGTCATTTCTCCCCTCCTGCTGTACCAGCATAAATAGGCACACAGTGCATTTGAGAGAGATGTTTAAATGCAATATTAACAATCTCTTAGGTTCTATGAATAAACTGTGTTTTATATCCAATAACTAAAAGGCAAGTAGAAATATTATGACCAAAATAATTACAAAACTTTATTTTTAAACCACAAATAAGAACTGATGTTTTTATTTGTCTGCATGCATTTTGTTTTGGTTGCTTCTCTTGTCAAATGCCATCCTAAAATTTGTGTAAATTAAATAGTTTTAAAATCAACTAAAATGGCTTCATACATCATGAATAAACACCTACCGGTATGTAATTTTATAAATTATTCAGAAAAACCTCAACTTGTTGATGTGACTAATAGTCCCCTTTACTATATGGAAAACGTTGCTGACATATCTCATTTTCATTAGATAAATGTTTTGAACTGCGTCTCACCTGCAGCTCGTGGTTTGCCTTTATGTCGGTCCATGATGAGGCCGTTCCAGGGAGCGCACAGCACCCCACACAGCTGGGTGATGGCAAAGGCGTTGGTGTACTGGCTCACTGCTCAGACACATGAGAAGAAACAACACGGTGAAATGCACACATTTAACGCACCAGCCGTCTGACGTAGCAAGTACTGAAAACGCATTGGAGAAAGTAGCATCAATTTTGGCAGTGATGTAAGTGTTGGATTTTGTTGACTTTTATTCTTCTATTTCAATGTTACCAGCTCTCAGTATTTTCATTGTGGCTTGGTTTTCTGTGACGCTGCAAATCCAGATCCAAGTTTTGCATTCTTATATCCAAAACTACTGACTTATCTAAGACTTTTCCACACTTTTCTGATTCTATAACTTATTCTCTAGGAGATAATCCTGGTATTTGGTAGAGACTCTTTGGCTTCTTAAAGTATTTCTGATCTCGTATATTTTGACTATGGCATACCTGTTCACTGAGGTGTTCTCAAATATCAGCACATGCTTTTATGTACTATTGAGAGTAGTAAAAATCAGACTACAGTTATATTTCCTAATTTCTTACGTCCTTCAGTTTCTGTTGGATTCAAATCCTTTGTCTCCTTCAAGGAACCTGCTGCACAGATTTAAAATTTTATGTGTCAAAGTCCAGAAAATCTATGTTGTCTGCAGAAGCGCATCTTTAAAGTAAATGACTGATGCACACTTTCCTTAGGAAGACCCATTATAAACAAAAGAAGACAATATAAATCTATATTTGGATCTGAAAATGCATTTACATGCATCTCAGACCTGTATGCAATAACACAGTGTGAACTAAAGCTGCGGAAATTTGGAAAACATAACGTCTGTATGGATCACAGTCCAGATTGTTGATCTGACACTGAGACAGTGAGGCGTTACGAAGGGCGATACCCAGTGAGGCCTCTCCTCCGGTCATCCTCTGCAGCATGGGGTTGAGCGTGCCGATGAACAGGTAGTGCCTGAGCTGCATCACCGACAGCCAGAGCAGGTGCCACATGAAGAACCTGGACAGCAAACACTCTCGGAAAGTCTTCTCTGAGAGGGACAAAAAGAGACACAAAGTTGTTAAATGCAGAGGAACAACAAAAAGAAATAAACCTACACCAGATAAAAGAGATAAGTAAATAACACTCTTCACTGGACCTTGTTTGACAGGAGCATTTTTTGTGAAAGCCGTTTCTTCAGGTGCTGGATGCGCCTCACCGTTTGCCGCCACCTCTGCGCTCGCAGTCACCGAATTACCGCAAGTAACTCTGCAGTGGATGTGGGAGCGATTAGAGAAAAAGACTCAAGTTTTCATTAATTCTTTGAAATAACTGATACAGAGAAATAGATATTGTCTGAAATCACATACTGTCTATCTCAAACATATTTTCCTTGCTGTAAAAAACTTTGCGGCTTTTAAACTATTAACTAAATTGCTCTGATTACATTAAACCAGGTTTTCACCACACACAGCCTGATCTGTGATCTGGGGTTTCACTTCTTAAAATAAGTGACCTGAAATATTACATGTTAGATGAAGCAAATTTTCTGCTGAAGTTTATTATACTGTAGTTATTATAGGGTCTAGAAGTGGGAACATAGTTATCGGCATCTTTGTTTTTCACCAGCAGCAGATTATTTTCTCTGCATTATATCGACTCAGTGACATTTGTCAGCTGTATTATTTTAGTCTGTTCCTTTCTTTGCTGGGCTACCATCATTTGAGCATTCACAGGTATCATTTAAGTGGAAAACGAGTTTTTTTTCTGCTGAATTCGCACCTTTCATCCATGTGCTCTCGGAAGAGAGAGAGAAACTGAGATTCTAACACCTGAAGGTAAAGACTTTAAAAAAATTCCTATTTTTGGATCCGTCTGTTTCTGATAAGTAGAAGGCAGAACTGCACCTCAAATCGAGAAACAAACTAGTTTAGGATTAATTATCACATGACAAATTTAGAAAAACAAATGATTGTTTTTGTTTTAGCTGTTTTAGGAGATGCAAGAAATGTGATATAGCATCACATTTTTAGCAGAAAGATCAAGATATTAAAAAAATGTGACAGACCAACACAAGATGCAGTATGAATATGAATTTGAAGAAAAATGATGGATGGTTTTTGATATTTTTTACAAATAAAAATGCAATTACACCCCTTCAGTCTGATACCCCTAAATAAAACTGTGCAGTGCAGTGGGTTTTAAGCCTGTTCTGGCTGAATCTTGAATGTTTTAGATATCTCCCTACTTTCACTCAACTGACTTCAACAAAATAAAAATTTAAACAAACTTGTGCAGGATTTGGTGAATAAAACTCAAGTCCAGAGTTGAATCTCTGACCAAACTTCACTTATGCCCTGAATACTTAGGCAATTTTAGGAACAAAATTTACTGTCTACATGTGCATAAATAGTAGAAACCCACAACAAAAGACTTCTACAGTAAGTAAACTTGCTCAAGCTTATGAGGTGTCAAGATATTTACAAAGTACAACATGTGCATGTTGCTGACTCCCATTTTGATGTTTCTTCATAGTATTTTTAAAGATGTGACAGTGTCTATGCAGGCTACTCATACCCATATGTGAAGCGATCCGGCAGCGGGTAAGGAATAAGGTTTCTGGGGAGCAGGAAGAACGTCCTGAGGATGTGGACGACGCTGCAGGCCGACAGAAAGAGGAAAGAAGTACGAAGAGAGACGCCAGACTCATGCAACAGCTGCGGAGAAAAAGACATGTGATGGAGATTATTAGTGGCACATATATTTGCATGTGGAAATTTTAAAAATGACATGATAAATCTCACCTTGATGATGAGGAAGAGCGCTGAGGAAGAATCAAACGCCCCGTTGTAGAGAGTGATTATGGTGGAACGACGGGAGCCAAACAGGTTTCCAACCTGCAAGAGACATAAAGCAGATTATTGTTGCCTCACAGTGTCGATCTCTGTGAAGCAAGTGGAATTTCACCAGGTTATTCTCTACTAAAGCCCAGTTCACACTACACGATTTTTTGCCCCGACAATCGTAAGGAGATCTGTGTTCCTGCTGCACAACATCATGAATTGGATGAAAGATGTGAAGCAGCCTGAAAAAACAGGAACTTCCTTATTATGCTACCACGGAAGCGCTGGTATAATCTTTGTCACAGAAAGTCTTCTGCAACACTCTTGCAGTGTTTCCTCAGAAAGTGGGTTATAGATGAATAAAAAAAAACAGTTCCTGACTAAGTCACTGTTTTAGACCAGATGTCAAACACAGTGACAACATGAACTCATAAGCAGCTCTTCAGTCCCTTCAACAACAAAAACCTAAAGTTATTTAGGTGCCAATAGCAAGTATTATCCTGCTGTTTCAATTGCTGTAATATGTGCAAAGTGTTGCATCACCCAATGAGAATAATTTTCCATAGAAAGTAGCAGGATGAGCTCAATGTGGGTGTAAGTAACTCTTTATGTTCTTTATGATTTCCTCCGCAAAGTCCAACAGAAATAAATCATTTTAGATAAAGATCTGCAGATCGGGGTTTTGATCCAAAAAGGAATCACATGATTTAGCCAATTTATCTTAGTTTCTGACATCCATGTTATTTATATTAGCCTTTAAAAAAACAGTTTCAAAAGACAAAAGACATTGTGATGTTGATGCCTTTCGGTCGACGCTTTTGATGAATGGAAAAGTCTTTTGATTTTTCAGTATTTCATCAAAAATTAGAACCGATCAAGAAAAACAGATCAAATTGATCAACTTTTCTCCCACTTGTAGCATCTCTCATTTCCTATACAATCATTTTAAATTTCAAAAAGGTGAGACACTTTTAGTAATTTCTATCAGTTTCTACCAAAGAGGGGCAAAGTGATTCATTCTTATTGCAGGGGTCAGAAAATTAATATACGATTCTAATCATTACACAGTGAAAAAAGAAGAAAACACAAAACAAAACAAAAAAACAACATTTAATTTCTCCCTAAAGATGAATAATAGTTTTATGTCCAAACCTTATGACAATACAAGCTTAGTTCTTTTACAGAGCAGCAAATCAACACAAACAAATCAGCCGTTCGTGTTTTGGAGTCAACGTTACCTGAATATTCGTCATGAGAAGCAAGATGCCTCCAACAGCCAGAAAAGAAAGAGCCGGAAAGAGCAGGTAGGCCAGAGCTGATGGAGGATAATCAGACTGATATCACAAACCTTTCTAATTTGCAGGAATTAATTTGATAGAAAACTGTTAACTATTTTTTTACCTGATGAGGAGAAAGCCACCATCAAGGTGCCCATGGTGTAAAGAAATCTGAAAATGAGACAGAAAAAATGTGGCTTTTGAATTTCAAGATGCAACTTACACAATGATGAGAACAAACTTGGATTTAAAACATAAATTAATTTTAAGCTCGGAAAACAGAAACACCGTGGAATTCAAAGCAAACAGAGATTCTCATGCAGATTTTTTTGCTTCCAGTGGATTTTAATTTCCTGCTCTTAGCTTGCACTAAGCACACTTCATCCTCAACACCATTTGACCCTTTTATATTTACATTCCTTTGGTCTTTATTTTTTCTCCACCCTGTTTCACTGGAAACATGTGTTGACTTAGTATCAGGCCACACCAATGGATTTGGACATAATAAATCAGCAGCTTTGTGCTGATTTATTAGAGATGATAAATTACAGGTTTAGAAAAGGTACGCTGAAAATATGAAACTTAAAATAACCACACCACCTTGACCCTACCCCAAACCAAACAGAGCAGCAATTATAGCTGAAATATATATTTATTTACATTTAATTTGTCCAGGGTTTCTCTTTCAATAATCTCGGCTCTTTTTGGAAGGAGTTTGAAAACCAGAAATTGTATTTATTATATTTATTATGAGTTTATTTAAACAAGTCAGTAATGCTGTAGAATGAAACTTGAATCCTGACATCTATCAATGAAATGAGGAAATCTGCAGGTGGAACTTTGTTACACAGTAAAAACACTGGCATTGGCTTTTTTTTTTTAAGAAAATCAAAGGGTATTCTCTGGCATCGTTTGCATTCACTGATGCAAACATTCAGTGAATGCTGATTAAATTATGTTTTTTGTGTGTTCAGATACTCTGCAATTTACCATCTGAAACAGTTTTAAAGCGGTGTTCATCTTTGGCTCCTTAATATTTAATATTTTCACTCACATTCCATAGAGTCGAGTCAATGTGGTACCAAATCGATCAAACAGGAAACCATTGGGCAGCGTCAGAAAGTTGTTCATGAAAGAGGCGATGGTGAAAATGAGCGAGTACTGTTCATCCTGTGCACTGCAGTCTGTGGCCAAAACAAAGAAATATGTTAGAAATACTAAAATATATATGAACAATTAGTGCTCAAAATCAAACATTTTATCCACAGCAGATAAAACTCACCCAGAGTTTGCGTGCCATTGACTCTTGTGGTGTTAACACACAGGGAGCTGAAGTAACGGTCCTCTTTGAGGACAAAAACAAGGGCAGCCCATCCAAACACGGCTCCGGCGAAACAGAGACACTCCACCAGGCCAGTGGCAAAGGTGAGGCAGCGTCGCACCGACAACTTGTTCTGCGGCTCTGGCATGGTCACTCACTTAAAAACACTCGGCAGCAGAAAAACTCACAAGCACATGTGAGGCACCGGCTTTTGTGTCAACATGCACTTCTTCCCACGTGGTTTCAGTCTCAGCACTCTGAACCTACCAGGCAAAAATAAATAAATCACAAGAGAAGGCGGCGTTTTCATCCAGTTAGTTTCATCAGAGAATAAAAGTTACACATCACTTCTCGTTTTCTCAGCAGCAAAAACTCTCCTGCACTGATGTTTGAATTGAAGATTATGATTATCATCACAGCTGGAAGAGAAAATATCTGTTATAAATATTATAATAGGTAACCACCAGTCATTTTCTTGTGCTAAAATGGACGTCAAGAAAAAGTTCAAAAATAGAGCCAGTCATTAAAAAAAGCACATAAAAAAAGCATAAAGAAGTGATGAAAGACACACTTTTTTTTTCTAAAAGTAAGGCAATATCCTTTAAAAAGAAGCACACCTTTCTCTGTTGTTTGCAGCAGCTGAAATCAGCCTCCCTGAAGGATCTCTACTACTGCAACTCTGGCTACTACCGCTTCCTTTATGCAGGTCAGTTCCTCCTTCCTCTTTTTTACCCTGCAAGTACCGCCCTACGGTTCACAAATGTTTGGGGTTTTTTCTCCCTTTTCCAGCAGCTCACAGTTCTGCAGCAGAGAAAGCCCTCCGCATGCTCAGGCTGCCAACTACTGTGAGAATAAACACTCCTGCATTCCTAGCTGGCCACACTGCAGAGCCACAGAAGCTACGAGGCCGCAGACGGAAATGCTGCCGAAAGGCTAAACCTGCACAGTTTAGCAGAAAAATAAGGGCTGCTTATTTTCCTGAAAATAAGCAGCCCTTATTTTCAGGAGCTCCTGGACCCACAGTAAACATTAACGTCTGAATACCAATTATTTTCTTTTACTCTCCTATGAAATACACAGTATCTTTCCACGGACATGTTCTTTATCAAGCGAGAACATGTGATGCATGAGATGCTTCAAGTATTTACATTTTTATTTGCATTTGCAAATACTGACTCTAAGCACAAACTATGGCCTTTGTGTCCCAGATTTAGAGAGCAGGAAATAATGAAATCATTTAAGGACGTATAAACGTACAATTTGAGACATTTGATCCTCTGGAAAAGGAGAAGCAAACGCTAAATAAAGCTATCGTACAAACAGACTCTAAGTTCAGACCGGGCCACAGTGCTGAATAATGCAAGGATATGTTCTCAAAGGCATAAATCTGCCTCAACATCATCTGATTCAAGAGGTGAAAACTCTGCAAAATTAACATGTTTGGTTATCAGTAATGAAAAGGTTTCAGTCTGCAATCAACAAATAAAACAAGATGAGGAATGGAGAAACAAGATAAGGAATGGAGAAAAGTAAAAAAAAAGAAGAAATTTGAGACATGACTTCCAGAATATTGTCCATTCTGATCATTTTTCTCAGAAATGAATCAACTCTGAACTGCAATAAAAGGAAATTAAAATGACTGACACTACAATCCTTCAGAGCGCACAATAAAATCGACCCAACACATATTAGACGAAGCAAGAGAAAAAGGCAGCTAATAAAAGTGAAGTCAGCTGTTAGGTGAAGCTAAATGAAACACCAGGTTAATGACAGCACCGCGTATTAAAATCAATGAAATCTTTATTAATCAGTTTGTATTAATCAGTTTGTGTCAAATTAAATATACCCTGCACTTTAAAACTCTTTCATTTTTCATAATGTAACAAACACATTTCTGTGATGATAGTGAAACAGAAAGAAAAAAATATTTCAATATTCATTAACAATATAAATTCTTGATTAATAAGAATCTGAAAAGTGTAGTGTGTGTATAAATTCATCCCCTTTTAGAGCGACACCTCAAAATAAAATCCAGTGTGACTGCTTTCACCGGTTCAATAAATAGGATCCGCTTCAGTTTAAGTCCTGCTGTTCTATGAAGACGACCAGAACGTCTCGGTGAAAAGTTCAACGCAAAACATCAGAACGCGACATTATCCACAGTAAAACCTGACTGCAGCACAATCATGTTTGTACAAACATGGTAGCAAAATATGTGAAGTTAAATCCAGGGCAATCCAGGAAAACAAATTGGTCAATTTTACAGAGGACTTAATCCTGGGGCGTAGGTCCACCATCCGACAGGAAAACAACCTGAAGCAGCCAGAGACACAATGGAAACTAAGATCAAACAATATTCATGTTTTCAAAAAGATCCAGTCAAAATTTAGACTTGAATAACATCGAGACGACTTGAAATTTGATTTGATTTTACAGCACCTTAAAAGTATTCACCTCCTTGGTTGTTTTTCATTTTTAAATGCGTTTACAAATCAATCACGAGAACGAAATGAGTTTTTTTCCACTCATTGTGAGACTATCGGCTCTAGTTGGCTAGAACTAGGCCAGTCACTTCAAAGGGGCTGAATATTTATGCAATCTCTCATTTATTTTGTAAAAACAATACAAATGATAATACATCCGAGGTTGTGAAAAGTTTTGACGGCGCTTTATTTTGTAAAGATGTCTGCTCGATGTGAAAACCATAGGACTAAGAAGAGGTGCATGCTTTCCAGACAAATTTAAAAACTATATAATTTACACATATGCACCACTTAGTGTTAATCCGTACTATCATTATTTTTGTTGTATTTTGGAAAAAAAAGGTGCAAAAGCTCAATAAGTGTGAATACTTTAAAATCTCTTGTGTGATCATAAAAATGTCCAGGTGCAAATTTGATGATTCCCTTCACTGGAGGTCAGAAAATGAATAAATCTGCTGCCGATTAAGCAGAAACACAATTATCTTTCTGAGTATTGTGAAAGGCAAAAGCAGAAGAAATTAGATCATACCAGAGCATGTGATACAATATTACAAAACTTTCACTCTGGGACACAACTGATAAATATAGAAATATTTTAAATGTTGCACATGAAACCATAGAGGGATATTTAAAAAATGCATTTTCTCATCAGTTTGGACTCATTAGAATGTCATCAGACGAAAGAGAGAAATACAGCTTTGTAAAACCTGTGTCACAGAAACCCATTCATGCACAGGGAGAACATGACAGCTCCATGCATGAAAACATGATTTACATTGTAATCCAGGTTTCAATAGTTTTTTGTTGTGTTTGTGGATCAGCAGGATTTTGGAGGCGGACATGATTTGGACAGATAAGGATCACAGTATGTAAGATAGTATGAGATACTGTGGTATGTCATACTATCATATCATACCACAGTGTGTGAATTTAACTTCACAATGATCTCCTTATCACAAGACACCAGATTCTGGCACGTAAACCAGCTGCTTCTCACTTCCTAAAACCAAAGTTTGACCCGGGCATCACAACCTATATGTGGGTGTCAATAACGTAAGAAGACACAGCCATCTTAAGTCATAAAACACATGACAGTACTCTGAATGACAATCCAGTCACTACAGTTCAAACAAAAATACTACTATTGGTTTTTATTACAAATTAACAGACCCTCAACATTTCTAACTGCAACTTATCAGTTTCACTAAGAAATGAAACTGTGTTGTTTGTTTAATATAACCTAAAACAAAATTACAATTTAAAACGTTTTGTATAATCCTTTAATAATAATAATTTTGTAAATTTCAACATTATTCCCCCTTTAAGTTAGCTAAAATTACATGTGAGATGCACAAGATGTTCCTCTTTGTTCCTCAGTAGATTGAAGCAGGTTTGTCAGGTTTAAATTTAAGACATTTAGTTTGGTGTGTTGATGACTGCTGAAGTGAATGTGAACATCATGTTAATATGATATAAACTATGAAAGTTAGAAAGGTCTCAAAATAGCTCAAAAATCAGCAGATCCACTGCTTCAAAAACTGCGTACAAATGGAGAAGGTTCAAAACAACAGGCGAATTGCTCAGCAAGTCCGTCTGAGCAATCTGACCCTGAGAGCAGACAACAAGATGCCACAATAAGTTTCCAAAATCTCTAAAACATCAGTAGGCTTGTACTGGTTGCACAAGACTAGCTTCCATCTGTACTGCAAGGGGAAAACATTCACTCTGCAAGAACGATGTTTGCCAGAAAGCACAAAGACAAAGACCAGGACTTCAGGCTTGATGTTCTTTGAAGTGAATCATTTGGACTCCAGAAGAGAAAAACTGTTTAACATAAAGCATATGCAGCATTCCAGGATTAGAACCTCATACTAACAGTAAAACAAGAATGTCAGTAATATCAGCAGAAAGCAGAAATAAGCCTTCAAATGCATCTTCAGCTGCTGAACTTAGAAACATCTATTTGTTTTAAACCACTGCCTGCCTTTCTGATGAACAAGCTAAGAAAATTCCCAAAGTTGCAGACAGGATTTTAAAAATGAAACGCACAGTGGTAAACACTGGAAAAAAAATCTTGTTTGTCAAGAAAACTTTGCAAGCTGATCATGTACAGTATATTTAAGTTTTTCTGACTTCTTTGTGCATTTCTTGCAAGTCCAAGAGAAAACAAGCTGACATCGGATCTGGTGAAGGTAATATGATTGATCCGAAAGGTCATCTAAAGTCAACAGTGATATTAGTGACCTTGAATTTAACACTCACTGCACACTGTGCTGTTTAATATCAGCTTGATTTAAAGGAATGTGTGAAAGCATGCTGAATATTTTATTAGATTCTACTGTGATCTACAAAGACAGTCGGACAAATTACACAGATTCCAGTTTTTTAAGTAGCTACACTTGAAAAAGTAACTATGCATTCTTTCTTCAAACAAAAATAAAGCGGGTCTACTTGGCATTCTGATAAATGAGAATAATGCCGCTTACCAATAAATGTTATACTCCTGACACATCTGATTGTTTCCCATTAAATTATCTCACATTTATACTGGAAATGCAATTGTGGATTGAGCAGCAGAACTGAGTATGTGTGTGGTGTCCATTAAAAATAACCCAAGTTCTCTATGCAATGCCAAACACTTAATTTCCAATTGGCTTGTTGTCGCCTCAATCATTTCATTTAATACTTGAGCCAACCGGATCTCCACTTTTGGTTCTAAAACTTCAGATTTAGCTTAGATAAGTCAAAACAAGAAGTGTTAAATAGCAAGGATTTCTTTCTTTTTAATGTTAATTCACAGCAAAAGGATACAGTTCCACTAAATTCAAATCAATCTCATGTTCTGAGAAGTCATGGAAAACATGTGCTCTGTTTGCATGACTAGCAAAGCCCCCCTTCCCCCCCTCCTCTTTTGAGTCATCAGGAAAAATGCAACTATCAGCAATTTCTACTCCTTCAAAACATCTAGATATTTTTAATATTCGCTTTTTCAGGAAGAAAAGCCAAAATAGACAAAAAACCATGGGACTGCCACTCTCCATCATACCCTCTACTTCTGTGTTTTTCTTTAACGTTCATGTGAAAGTGAAATGTAACAACAATATGCTGTATATCACTCATTTAAATATATACATATATAGAAATGAAGCTGTTACAAAGCACATTTGAAAGTTTAATTAAAAACTTCCCGTGTTCAGTCTGTGTGTTACTAAGTTCTGCTTGTATTTCCTTTACAGACCAAACTGAAGTGAGCTAAAAAAGAATAAGCTTAGCTGATCGATTATTTAGTGGGAAATCATTGACCTGGGATCAAACAGAGTCAGACATGAGCCCATGTGCAAACCTACGCAGTATGCAGTAAAGTGGATTCACAGAACCAACTGCATTACAACTTAGTCACTGCATTATATCTATCCATCTTATTTAATCTATTTTATCTAGCCTATCCATCCTGGTGTTGCTACAATCGATCAGAGCCACACAGGCACAAAGGAAGCAAATGCACCCGGTGGAACATTTTCATTCTATTGGCTGAGAGGTTGCCAAGCAGCGGTTACTTTTCTGTTCAAAGCAACTGAAAATGTAAGCACGAGTATTAAAGGTTTTAAAGAACAAATGACATGCAATCCTGCTTTCAGACTGAGAATATGTTCTTCTCGAAATGCGGCAGAAAAGTGTAAAAAGAGTGGCCAAGTCAAAGTGCGATCAAATTAGATTCCTTATCTTTAAAGCCCTCCATTGCAATGCAACTGAATAAGAGATTTTTTTTAATTTATTTTGGAGTGAGGATTTTTTTTTTTCCGTTTTTGAACACAAAGGCAGAGCACACACATCCCAAAAGAAACGGAGACGTGTTCTATAAAGTACTTTTCCAGCTATTTTCTCCAAATATGTCAAACCCATTTGCTGTTTAATTTTAATGACATAATTATGCACCCATTGGTTTCAAACTATCACACAAGATCCCAATGAAACCCACTGAAGTTGAGGGGTGACAAAATATAGAAAATGCCAGGGGGCATCGATGCTTCACCACATGCTGTTAATCACCTCACATTGTCAAGAAAACGAATTACCTCACATCAAGACCTGCAGTGAAGCTCAGAGGTCAGAGCTCTTTTTCTTGCAACCTGAAGAAACCTAACTGTTGCAAACTGATGAGGTTGTTGCACGAACAGATAAAACTGACATATCTGCGTGGACGTATTGACACTGTGTCTGTCCTACCTTAATCTTTGACTCAATTCGCCACCCAGCTCCTGTTTTCATCTCGTGGGACAATGTGCTGAGCAGCAGCAACAGTGAGAACGTTTGGAGGTTTTGCACTTGGTGCTACCGCCTGTTATCTCCAGATGAACTTTGTAACATTTTCACACAGACTGAAGGCTGCGGATTTTACCCCATCCTCCCCTCCTCTTCTCCCCCATCACTGATAAGC